ATACAAAGCCAGAGAGTATACGGATATATGTATATATCGTGAGAGATACCAACGACAAGTCGAGAAACAAAGCCGGGCGACAATTATGACCAGGGGACAACATAGGCGGCACAGTAATGTAGATGATGCTAGCGACGCGGAAGGCACGAATGGTGCGCTTCGTACTGTTTACCGGGACGGACAAAGTGGTTAGGACGCTTTGAGCGATGTACTTGAAGCGGTCGCGGCTCCCACAACACGCTAAGATGTGCGAGCGACTTACGGTCGCAAGATATGGGTATACGCGACTGCCGTCCCGGCGTCGTCCTTAATTCCACATCCTCCAAGATCGTCTCATACTTCTCTCTGAAGGATGACGTGCCTCCGAACGAGTCCTGATCTCCGTCGAGCGATCCCGAGGGATCTGCGTTATCTCGCGATGCCTTGGCCTCTTCATCTCTCACACTGAGCTTATTCTCGCGAGAATTCGCTCTCCCGAGATAAAAATCGCCGCTGAAATTGTCGCTCGCGTCGGTCTGCAAGCTATCCCGCAGGAACTTCATGCGACTCGCTCGATTGGTCTCGCTCAGATTTGAATACTTGAACTTCCGATTGAGCTTCTCGTTGCTCGTCGAAGACCCGTCTCGCTCATTCCGTCCTGCTGAAGGGGAATCCGGAGAGTCGTGAGGAGTCCTCCTCACCCCACCGAGCCCGGTACTCGCCATGCTGCTCCCGATCGGCGAATCGACTTTACGTTCAACCTTTTTATCGGACAAGCTAGATTTTTCCGATCCTCCCGGGGTGTCGAGAGTCTTCTCGTCGTCGAAGACAGTTGCATCGGACACAGGTTTCTTCATGATTCCACAATTGTCGATGATCACGTGCTTGGCTGTCCACAATTGCCGACCGCTTCGTGGTGATTTCTCCTCTTCTGCCGCGATCTTTGAGTCGTCTGGTATTTCCGACGTAGTCGGAACGAGTTTACGATCCGCGTATTTCGCCTCGCTCGATTCTTCCTCGCTGGTGTGTACGTTGTCGCGATTCGTAGCTCGCGACGATATCACGGATATCCTCGGTCCGGGAGTTCTCCCGTCCAAGAGAGAATCGACGATCTCGCGACTGGGTTTCGAGTCGCGCTTCTTCAGAAACAGCCTCTGCTTCCGCTCGGTTTTCCCGCTCATTCTCGACCTCAGATCCGCGAGCGATCCGTCCGAGTGTGCCCTCGGACACTTGGGGTCTTCGCGTTGCCTTGTCACACTGTTCGATGTGGTCTCATCGGACGTACAGCTTTCCGTTCCTCTCGTCGTGATTGCGGCGTTCAAAGACGCGCGATCCGTCTCGACGTCGACCGGAGTAGGCGAACCTACGTGGATCTGCGGATTGCTGTAGCTCCTCTGCAACAGTTTCCCCATCTCCGGGTCGACCTCGAACTTCAGGTCGTCCATCGAGCACTCCACGCCGGAGAAGATGTAGTTCTTCGGGACGAAGAAGCGGCTGTTCGAGATGTTGATCCCGTACGAGTCCCCGTCGGCGCTCTGGATACCACTGATATTCTTCAGTAACGAGCTCTTCGTCATCGCGTTCTTGTCCGACGTGTTCGCGACGGTGATGTAGAGCTTCGGATAGTTATCCGCCATTATCGAGGATTCGTCGCTCGCACTGTGCGCCCACTTGTCCGGTTTCAAGCAGGACTTGGAAGATTCGATCTTGGGATTCTTCCATTGTCTCGAATTTTCACTGGCCAAGTGGTGCGCGTCCGTGTTTTTCGGGGCGCACTCGGTGCTCCGCCGACTGTCGACGCGAAAGTTGGGACAGATCTCGATCTCCTCGCCGGAAATCAGTTTGTCCTCTAATTTGATAGCTCCCTTGAGGGCCGGTACGCCATTTACGTCGTTATTCGGCAACGATAAGTCACCGTTTTGAGTCGGAGAGACCATAACGTCCGGGAACTTTGTTTGGCATACGTCCAGATCACTCATCGTCGTCGTCGTCGTTGTCGCCGTTGTTGTCGTCGTTACTGTTGTCGTTGTGGTCGCTCTAACCATGTCATGCAGCAACGCATGCTTCCTCGGGTCGTGATGTTTTTTCAGTATCGCCCGACCCCGCTTTAACATAGTGCTCGCCGTTTTCCGCTTATTCCCGTTAAAGGTATCGAGTGGTATCTTGCAGTAATTCAGTGCAGTGCTATCTAGTGCGCAATCCGATCGGAGAAAATATCAAGAATTACGAAATTAATAGAGTCTTAACAATTATGCTTACGGAGAAATATATATCGAATAAGAAAAAAGGAAAGGTTAACGTGCTCTTCACAAATCGGTCCCTCGCTCTCTGTCCCCTGCCTGCTCGCTTTCACTAAGAAATATTCTTCTTTCCTATGTATTCAGGGAGAATATTATGTGTTAGTATATTATGTGCAACATCGTTTGGTGTATCACATGCAACGACAGACAACGCTGTTCACCAGCGACACTCGATATAATAGCTTCTCTATGAATCTTCCCGCGCTATCACGGAGATTCTGTCGCAATATACTATCACATAACAATCGCTATTTTAAGACCGAATTCGCACGTTTCCGCACGTTTACCTTTGTTCAGCTTATCGAGCTGCGCCTCCAGTGCTCTCAGCTTGTCCCTCTGCGCCTTGTTCTCCATGACGACGCGCTCGAGCTCGCTCTGCGCCTCGGTCTTGAAGTCGTTGGCCACCCGCACGGTCATCAGAAGATCGGTCTGGAATTGCTCCCATTCCGTGATCTCGTCGCGCCTCAGCTTACGTTCATCGGCCAACGCGCGCTCCAGCTCGAACTGGCGCGTCTGCGCCTCGCTCAATGCGGTCTTCAGCTCTCGCTTGTCTTCCAAATGCCGCTGACACTGTGCCTGCAACTCCGCCAGGGAGTCTCGGACAAGCTGGAGCTCCGTGCTCACGGACAGCCGTTCGTCCTTCAACTGATTCAGTCTGTACTCCAAGTCGTCTATCGCGGACTTTGCATTGTTCCGCGCCACCTGGAATGCACAAGTGTGCGTGTAGGTATATCTGGTTTTGCAAAAAAGAAAGACAAGTAATTCTTCAGTGGGAGGGGTTGTAAATTCGTATCGTCTATCTCTTGTGCATGAGCTTCAGTGAAACTTTAACATTTGTCAGGTTAAAACTCATTATTCTCTAGTCATTCCCTCCGTATCTGAATATGGATGTATCTACTATTTTGACACAGCTTAAAATATCGTGTCGCATATTCAGATATGGCGGAGAAGCGATTAAAAAGACTAGTGAGCCTAGTCTGGTGAGCGTTAAGTCCAAATCTACAATATATGTAAAAGTAATGTAACGTAATTTCTGATAAAAGGCGTTTTCCGCGCTGCCATAAGTCGTAATATCGCTTAAATCTTAGGAATTGCGACGCTGGAAAGGTCTTTTACTAGAAACGACGTTACAGCAAAAGGCTAAAGGCTTACCACACTTATTGTGAATCCAGGCTTTGTCTGGGATTCATCCAAGTTTAATGTATACATAAAATACACACGATACCTTATATTCTTCCTGAAGCTGCGAATACTGATCCCTCAGCCGATCGTGGTCGCAATGCGAGCGCGCCAGCTGTTCCTGCAGCGCCGCTGCCTGCGTCTCCAGCGTGTCCTTTTCCCGCCTGGCCGCGTCCAGCAATTCGTCCGCCTCGCTCTTGTTCTCCAGCTGCCTCGACTGTTCCAACTCCTCGATTTTCGCTCGCGCATTCTCCAGCAGGGTCGCCAGCCTGCTGATCTCTATACTGCGATTCGCGCCCTCCTGCCTGGCTTCCGCCAACTCCAGGTCCAGCTGCTTCCGTTCGACGTTCACCGTGTCGACCGTCGACTCCAGTGCCTCCACGCACTTCTGCAGACGTTCGGTCTCCGCGGCGCTCGTGTCGGCAGTCACTCTGAGACTCTTCAGCTCGCTGGTCAGCTCCTCTTGCTTCTGAAGCAGTGCTTCTCGCTCCTCCTGCGCGCTCTGTAGATGTAAAAATGATCGGTAGTCGCGACTGCTGTTCGTTCTTTCCTCTATTTTCCCTTCTTTCTTACGTGCAGATCCGCACAGGCACTCACTTTCAAGAGATCCACTAGCTTCTGCTCCCTTTCTGTGTTGTAACCCTTGGATGCCTCCTGCGGTTGTTCCTCTCTTAAAAGCAGCTCCCGCAGGGTATCAACCTTGGACCGAGAGTTCTCTAGTTTCTCCGTCTGACGGCACAGTGACTCCAGTAGGACGCCCTTCTCCTCGGTTAACTTTTCATTCTCGGCTTGCAACTCCGTCAGTTGCGCCTGTGTGATCAACATTAATTGGTTGGAGGTTGTATCCTGATATTATTCCGATAATACATTTACCGAGCATTCGAAAAGGTAAAAGAGTAAACAGACCTGCAGATCACTTAATTCCTGAATAGTTGCCTGCAACTCTTCGTTCGTGGAATAATGCGTCTCCTCCATCTGTAGAATCTTGTCCTGCAAGCATGCAACCGAAACCTCCGACACAGAGCTGGAGGAATGCTTGTCCCAATCTGGCGTGGTGCACTGGGCGCCATCCTGGGGTGAGCTGGTGCAGTTTGCATCGTCCTGAGGGATGGCGATGGAGGCTGGTGCTGAATTATGGAGCCTGGAGGCGTCAAACAGCAGTTGCTGCTTCTCCGAATCCGACAGTGGAGAATGCGCCACATCTCGTAGACGAGCACGAAGAGCCTCATTCTCTTCCGTGAGACGTTCTAGCTCGAGGCTGTGCTGCTCCTGTTAACCCAAACAATAAACACACGCGGACGGTTAATCCCACAAGCCATGTCACGGAAGGTTAAAACGCCATTTAGAAAGATGCAAACGTAACACCCGAAACGACACGTATATATCTGGATACGTTCGAACGAAAAATATGAGTATCATTGCAACGGTATCGTTATTTAATGATGCTCATGGTGCGAACATGCATTTGACAATTCTACGTGTGTACTTCAGTTTGCATCGTCGTGGTCGCGATCTCTCACAGATAATTCATAATTTCCGCGCAACAACGAGAAGCGAGAGAGACAAGCTCCCGCTAAGCTCCCGTACAAAAACCTGCTCCAAAAAAGCGTCCGGCGCAAACATGACAGCGTATATGTGACGTCACACGCGCGGCGATAGCATGCGCGATCGTTCATTGACGACTCGTGGAAAAGTCAAGTTCCTGAGTTGCCGAAACGACGCTACAAGAGGACGCGTCACGTAACTGTCGCTCCGACAAGAGAGAATTAGAGGAAGGAGGGGGGAGGGGGATCCGACTTATCGGATTCGAGGTTAGAATTTACGAATTACTAGCGGCCGAAACGGCCCACGACGAGCGTGCGGTGTCGAGCACGGGTGACGACGTGGACGCGAGCGTTCGCGATTCGCCGCCCAGGACGAGCCATCCCCGATGCGGAACTTTTACCGTGAGTGACGAGAGACAACGCTTTTTCATATCGGATCGGCTTCCCCGGCTCTTCTTCCCTACATAAATATCCCCGCGCGCTCTACGCCCTCTGGCTCCGTTTTCGCGCACGCGAAACGCCGTTTCTCTACCGCCGTCCTTCTCGCTCGCTCTCGCCGTCCCTTCCTCCCTCTAACGCGCTCTAACGGTTTCGTCAGTTACGTCTCTCTGTGAGCGCTGGGAAACCGGTACAATTACGCCATGCACCGAGCCCGATGCGACACGACCGTCCCGAAAACGATGTCCCATCTTCGTCCACGACGACGGAATGCCGACGACCGCTGGATCACCAGGTACAACTTCAGATGACGCCGTAGCCGGCCAGTAGGAACGCCGAAATCCCGTCGGAATTACATTTCCTACCGCCGGTTTATAATTACGCGACATGTACAGTCGACGGAAGAAAGTTCCCGCGGCACTCCTTCCCAATGAGTTTCGCAACGCATCGGTATCCAATGGGAGAAGCAATTTCTTTTAGCGACTCTCCGAAGAGATGGAGTTTCCTATTGGACACGCGCTCCAAAATCTCTCGAGATAAAGGTGATCGCGTAACTTTCCCTCCACCGGCCTGTCGGCTGAAAGTGAAATTAAAATGGACAATTCCACTCCGCGCATCAAGGTAACTGCATATCCGAAATAGCGCGATCTAAAGTTGGCCTACGTCGCGCCGCGCGTGAAATGAGGAGAAGGACGAAGACGACATACTTCTCGTCACAAATATCAAATTGTGTTTATTAATATCGGCCGACCTTTCACGCTCCCGATAGGGAGGCCGCGGGTTCCTCGAACTCCCTCATCACTGGGAAGAATTTCAAACCTTTATCGCTGACCGATTTAGTGAATTTAGATTAACGTGATATTGGATGATAACCGAGGAACGAGATCATTGTGTAAGCATATAACTCGATATTCCTCTAATGTGTTACGCCGTTCGAAAGATGCTCACGAAAAAGTGCTCGAAATCGCGAACACGACGTTCTCGAGAAAATCTCCCGACCGTACCCCAGCCAAGATAGTATCATCGGTATATAATATTTTTATGATTTTTAACCCTTTTAGTGCCGATATATCGTCGTTCGCAACACTTGCGAAAAGTGTCAACGACGATATATTGTCGCGTATCCGAGGGCGTCTTACTATTCGCATTGCGAGTGTATGCGTATGATTTTCAACAAATATTGAAATACAATTGGCATTACTTTATCCTTTCTTTAGTTCGTAATATGCTGCTTTTTGAATTTTGTAAATATCATTTTTAGTTTGGTTTTTATGAGCTTTTTCCGAAACCTTAGCAAATTCGTCAAATTGGCTCGGAATTCTTCGAATAGGTACGATATTTTTGTTCTAAAACTAAAAGGGTTAAAATCACGCTTTAAATAATGTGTAATAAGTCGGTTCGACTTTGCCATTATATCGCTGCCATTGTATTAATTTTGCTACAATTTTGAAAGCTTAGAAAATATTGTTTTTTTTTATTTTTCTGCGAACTTTTTCAGTTTCTTATCTTCTTTATGGAAAAAAGTTAATGTGGCAGGTTTTAATTGAACACCCATAAATTTTCCCAAATGAATTTCTTTACCTTTGAGACAGAGAAACCGAAGAAATCCGTGGAAAAGTTAAAAAATAAAACGGTTTTTTCCGAGATTTTAAAATTATATAATTTTGCTTTATCTCAAAGATATGACTAATTGAACGAATCCGGGGCGGCATTCTGGACATAGAGCGAAACGTTAAACATCCTTTTCATTATTCCGAGTTTGAAACGAAGTTACATATGTGACAACCACATAGAAAAAACTAAACTTAGAATTGAAAAGGCGTAATCGCTATACGCGTGCAAAATAAAGGCCTATCCAGACAAATAGCGCATAATGCATATGCAGAAGGCAATTAACCAACCTGGGTGGTGTCTAATGTATGTATATATGTATATATGTATATGTGTACTTTACAGCTTCGCGTTATCTGCAGTGCCTTGACCAGAACGGTCATTAGTTTAAAAATAGGTGTTGATAAAAAAATTATTCATTCTGCAGATTTCTTTAAAATTTTGAAAATAAACTATATGTAATGAACGCTGATTTTATAATCATTCAAAGTGTGTATACATTTTTGGGGACACCCTGTGTATATGTATATATATATATATATAATTTACTTATTTACTTATTACTTCAGCTTTTGGCGAAGAAGACTTGATTTACAATGCTTATCGCACTCATTCCTCCACACTCTAATATTACAAATTTTTCGGCATCTACTCCGTGTCTCACACCCTTAATCTACAATTCTCCAAATTCCTGCACATTCGCATTGCGCGCCTTTCGCTTATCAATACTTTTATCTCTATTTGAATTAAGCAATCATGTGTTTAACACAAAAGACATCTTTTTTCTACACGGATCATGGTCGGCGGCTTCTTTACGCATATGCAATAACGCAAATTTACCTGGATGGGCCCTAAGAGCTAACCCGTTTCACCGAGAGAGCGTACCTTGAGAGCGGCGAGTTCGGCGCGCAGGTCGCGCAAGATCTGCGCGTCGCAGGCGGCGTCACGTAGGCTCGCCTCGAGACGCGCGCGATCCTTACGCAGAGTCTCGATCTCGCGCTCCAGCTCCTGCATCCTGCTCGCCTTGGCGGAACCGCCCTTGGATGACTGATGGACGGCCACCGGCGCCTTGGCGGTGTTGGGCCTGGCCGGCTCCTTGCCGCCTAGGGAGCCGGCCCAGTTGTTTCCAGTCGGCGCGACGTCGCTCTTCGCCTCCAGAGAGGAGGCACTAGGCGCCTGCCGCAGCGACGTCGGCTGCTGCGTCGACTGCTGCTGGCTCGGTTGCCCTCTGCGAAACAGCGATTTGAACTTCATCATGGTCACTTCGAGTGATCAGCGTTTCTCGGATCTGTTGTTTGTGGAACAAGGAACGAGCTTGCCGGGCTTCTCCGTGAGAAACCGCGATTTCTTTCGAGCTTCTCCGAGGTTCACAGGAAGGTGGGAAGAGCCTGGCCGCGACTAGAGTACCGATCTGGAACGACCCTCGTCATCAACGGACGATGACATCGTCGAGCGTTCCCGTTAGCAGCGCACGGCGGCTCCGAAGATTCGGCCGAGGGAGAGAGAGATGAGCGGTGTGACCATCATTCTGTCGCACCTTCTCCTTCCGCTCACGCGAGCCCAGTTATCATGAAGCGCGAGTGTTCCTTCAACGAATGTATCTCCAGGTCGCACGATCAAAGCGGAGAATTCGCGAGCGAGCGCGTCGAACGTCGTCGTCGTGCAATTTTTGCAATGCGTGTCTCTGCGTCTCCACGTGACGCAAGTCGCCACGGAGATAGCGCGTTACTTGGAGCTGTTGCTCGAAGCTCTCGCGAGGTACTCTCCTCTTATCGTCGATCCAGATAGGGGCGGATCGTGCAATCGACTAACACTTCCTCGAAAGGCGACCGCGAATTCGCGACGAGAGAGAAAGAGAGAGAGAGAGAGAGAAAGTTCCTCCTCTCGACCTCGGCAAACGAGTTCGCGAGAAATGTTTTCAGCGCTATCGCGCTCCGCTATCGTCAACCGATGATGGGACGAAGATGGGTCGTTTAATCTCTCCGCGATTAGAGAGTCTCCCGACGCGCGCTCCACTTCCGACGCACTTTCGACGCGACACGAAGAGAACGTCAGGTGTGTTCCTTCAAATGTCACGTTCCTTCAATCCGTCCGTTCCTTCGACGCGCGCGCGACTCGAGCGCTGCGCGATCTCCAGGATGCGACCAGTGTGATCGAGTGCACAGTATATAATCTCGGATCAAGCAGCGGTCAACGCGATAAATCTCGAGAGAGAGAGAGAAAAAAAAGAGAGAGATTCACCGAGTCACATTCACCAAAACCGCGCACATTCCTCCGGTCGGCCGCGACGTCCGGGCGCATCTCCCGACGCGTTTAAGCGCGCAACACTCCGCCGTCGAGAATCTCAGCGAGAGGCCTTTTTTTGCGAGCTAAAGCGGTCGGCCGTCTGTCTCTGCACGCCGAAGATCCACCATCCCCTTGTATCCACGTCTTTCAAGACACGGCACGCGTCGCGCTGACGACGGCGGCGACGTTACACGACGTGTACGAGTGATTGCATCGTGTGGCGTGCGTTCGCCGAGGAATTCGAAGATTCGTGCGGCGCGAGCGAGCGAGCGAACGATGAACGAGGGAGCGACCGACCGACCTCGAGCCACTTTCTTCGGCCCCTCCGAGAGTCTTCAGATTCCTCTCTTTCTTCTTCGAGGATGGCCCGAGAACGACGAAGAGGGCCGGAGGTGAGGGTGACCTGAGGAGCACGCGCCGGTCTCCGCTCGCGTCTTCGACGACCACTTGTTGCTCTCCGCCGACTGACTATCCGCCGCGAGCAGAGCGGAAGAGTGTCGCCGGGCACGCCGCCGCGGAAGGACACCCGAATGTCCTTGCGATCGCGCTCGACTCCGCAAGGACGACGGACTCGTGCGATGCGCAATCCCCGAGAGCCGGAGATTCTCCGTCGTTCTCCGCGCGCTGATAACACACTGGTTCGGGACACCAGGTGCGCACGGATGATTTCAGGACTACGTTTCGGAGTCGAATCGACGACGTCCTGGATGCACGACCGACTCGATCACGAGAGCACCGGAGCGACACACACCGCGCGACGGTGCATCGGGTACTGAATACGTGAGTCGGCTTTCGCCCCCCTCCTCTTGCCATAATTCTGCCCTGTCCCCCTTCCCCCCGTCCTCTTCTCTTGCCCGATCAAGGCTTTTCTTAGGCGGTCCGCCTCGCCGGACTCTCTCGAAGGGCCGACGAGTCAGTCGCGAATGCAAGCAAAGATCGCGTACCTTGGATCGCGTTCGTCCCGACCATTCACAGGAATCTCGTCGCGTGTCTCCTCGTGATCCACGTCACCTCTTTCGGCTCTCAATATGGAACAACGTCGGGCATGATTGTCATGAAACTACGACGACAAGATTGAAATGGATTCCGTCATTCTCACGCGTGGTCGCGCGGTGCGCCTTGACTTATAATCCGTCGCTCAGATTTTCCGCCTCTCCAATTGAGAAGCTATCTATCGTGCGCTAAAAGTAAACACTATGCAGGTGTTAACGAAGGCCTTTCTTATCGCCGAAAGGCCCGAAACTTGATTATTTGTCGACGTAGCCTTTCGGCTTTTCAAGTAATTCCCATAATTTCGAATCTGGAAGGCCTCAATTTACATGCGAAGCTCGAGATTAGTCATCTCGCGAATTGACCGAACTTCGGGTTTTCTCTTCTGAACGAATATCAAGGCAAACGAATAAGAATTGCGTTTTACTCGGTAGGACGATATGATACATTCAAATCCTGCCGCCGGAATTTTGACGATCATCCCAAATGCCGACTCCCATGCCGAGCACCTTACAGTCAACTTCTCGCAACTTAAAGGAACTCGAGAGCCGCTCGAGCATCGAGTAAACTCGACCGATTCGAGTTTAGAGCCAGCACGAAACTGCCGTCTCGTGAAATGACGATTAACGGGTCCGACAAAGGAAGGAACCATCGATTTAGGCAATTAATTACACACGCGTACGGAAAGGGCTAAGGAATGAGAGGATCGCGGTAGCAGCGAGTTTGCGATCGTCGAGCGGCGCTACCCAGTCGATTGTCCTTTGACGCGTTTCGATCATTTCGGATCGCGTCGATTTTCGATGAAGAGGAGGAGGAGGAGAGATAATTGGTTGGATAGGTTGTTGGGGCGGAGGGGAGGGAGGAGGGGGGCAGCCGTCGGACTCTTGGGAACGGGTACGCGTCTCGTCGCTGCGAGGATGGCATGGCCGGGGGATGAAGGGAAGAGAGAAGCAGAAGCTGCTTAAGGAGGCCACACGGAATCCGCAGACGTCTCACCGGTCGACCAGTTTTCTCATACGGTCGACATATGGTATGTACCCGGTGGCCGAAAGGTCTCCTTTGTGATGCGGGACGCGAGAGAATGTGGCTGCCGAAGAAGTGTCTGCTGGTAGTGATGTCAATGCCGGGCATCCGGGTGTCTCGGGCCGAATACCCGGTTACCCCCGAATTTTTCCGGGTATTAGCCCGGCATCTCTAAAATCTCATACGGGTATCCGGGTATACGTGAACATCCGATTATTTATTCTTATTATTATCTCTCACATATCCTTCGAGTTATTCCGTGCTGATGAAAAGTATCGAAATAAGATTTAACGAACAGTAGTAGCAGCGTTATAAGATATTCAGTTTTTATATAAGAATATGCAAGACACGAGATGCAAGATGTGCAAATGTATGAAATAAGAAAATCGTGGGGGATACCTGACAAAGTTCGTGACAAGTATCCGGAAGGTTCACTTCCCATCGGTCTCATCTTGACACTTTTATACGCGAATCAACGGGGAGACTATATTTATGGCAAGAAGAACATGATTCCGTTTAAACAATCGGTTGGTTCCAGATACCCAGATAGTGTTTGCGAGTTTAGGAATCCGGATAGATGGTAATAAAAAATACCCGGGCGACGACATCAGCACCCAGACCCGAGAGTACCTCTCACTTCGCACCTAGGTACATTTTCAGGTATTCGTAGTCGGTGACTAGGTGCTATTCGCAGTGAGTACGAACGGGCGATGACAAAGGGACGGCTATTATTATCGAGCACCGTGTCAAAATCGTCCGTCCGTGACGGACTCGGGTCTCTCGTCTCGCGATGGCAACGCTATGTCGGGCCCCTATGGCACACCACGGGTGCATTTGCACGTGCACCGAACCTCCGGCCGAGGCAAACCGGTATGCGTTTTTCCGGTCGACGGAAATACGACACTCCTCGAGGACGGTCCTCAACGAGCGCGTAGCCAACGAGCCGTTGCACGGAACGGTGCCATGGCAGTCACCGTAATACATCAAAAATCAGTAGAGACGACGTTTTCGCGGCACGCCCTCGCCAACGGCCTATTCGTTCTTCCTTCTGCTTCGACACGACATATCCATAAGTCATCGACTTTATTCCGAAAAGTCTCGTATCAGATATTCGCTCGAAGACGTCCACGTGGTCCACGTGGTCGGCGGTCTCGGTAGGTGTTTCCATGGTAAACGGACAATTAAGAGTAACGGTCGCTCGGAGCGCAAACACGGCGCCGATTTTCGTTACGCTATGAAGCGAAGCGAGGCGATAATTCCTCGTTGACGACAATGTCGTCCCGGAGAGATCGGACGGGGCTCTTTTTCTGAGATCGCGTTATCGCCGATATAACGCGGAACAGGGACAGTCACTGTGCTCTCTCTCTCTCTCTCGCAGTATCCGAGAGAAGACCGTTCGACCAGCGGATTCCGTTACGACGAGTACCGATAACGATTTTTACCGGGTCATCTTTCGGATTTCGAGAGAACACGAACCCGAGGTACTACGAGTGATAGCGCTCAATGATGAAACTTGACCGATGTAAATTTCACAAGGATGAATAATCGAGGAAAGAGAGATAGAGAGAGACTCATACGTATTATTTGATCAATTCGAGCGACTCGACCGAGTCGGCAACGACTGCTGCGTGTCGCGAAGCCTATATATATATCCGCTTAATCATCATTATTCATTCGGCCATTAATATTTCAATATGGTATAACGACGATACGTGAGAGCGATTATTAGCGCGCATACCGAAGAGTCGCGTGCAAGGTTACGAGTCTGATTTCTATAAAACGCGCACGACCACCAGAGCTTCGTTGAGAGAATTCGACGCGTGTCGCTTTGCGGAAATTTTACTTCACACCGCAATCATCGTGATAACAGAGTTTGTTTGTCGTGCCTTTCTCGAGTCACGTGGGCTCGACTGGAAGCGAGAAAGAGGAGAGAGAGAGAAAGAGAGTGCGGGATATACGGGGATATCGAATCGTAAGGATTTCGCATTAAATATTTTCGACTCGCCATTGCGCGAGTATACACGGAAGACCGACGACTCCGTCTCGTCGCACCGGGCGTGTTACGGTATCCCCGAGCGAGCTCGTGTCTACCTTTATCTCGCACGAACGAGAAGCGAGTAGATACTCTGCTTATCGCTCTAGGTGCTAAACACGAGCCGGTTGTTTCGAGAAATATCGCCCGCTGACGTCACTCCGTTCACAAAGGCGTTTCCGATCGGAGATAAATATACATACTCGCGCGTCGTCGAGCCGCGCTCGAAAATCACGACGCGGTTTTGTCATGATCGCGAGAGAAAGCCACCTGAAAATCCGCGGATTCTCTCGCCGAACTCGCGGCACGAAGAACGGCGCGAAAGTAGGACCGGGTCGGGAGACGAGGAATCGCGGCAAGACGCGAGCGCACGCGAGAAGAAATCGTACCCGTCGCTTCGCGACGATTTTCGCCTTAGAAATAAGGCAGACGAGACCCCGAGGGGAAGAAAAAACGCGCGACGCCGGGAATTCGAGTCCGGGAAGCCGTGTAACGAGAGAGCCCCCGGAGAAAGAGGAGCAGCGTCGTATTTATTGCCGAGCAAACATTCATCATCGCCATGTGTTCGACCATTTGGGCAAACAAGTATCGCAGGAGTCACGCGTTGAGCCGAGGGAAAACCGTGTTCCGGAATAACTAGAAAAAAGAAAAAAAAATCGAGTAAAAAGAACCATTTCAAGGTTACGCAAAGTTTGCTGCACGAATTGAACTACGCGAACTGAAATCGAGTGAGATCGAATAATGGAGCCAATTGCCAGTAATCTGAACTTTTAGGAATTTCGACAGCGGAGTCGCAAATAGAAATGTTAACTGCACGTATTATTGTTATATATATGTGTCATTAACTATTTTAATAAAACTAAAACCGAACAGTTGCTGAAAGGCAGTTGTGAAATGCAATTGTGATATAATTATCAAGAAACAGATTTAGTTGCGTAATACGAGTAATTAAATCTGCTATAGTACGCCCAGCAATGTGTTGACTCAGCTTTATGATCGCCTCATTAAACTAAATCAGCTCGTTTTACAAACGAGAGGTTGAGAGAACATCGATATTTTGCTGTAAGAGAGTCAAGGTAGCTAATTCGCCACACGCAGCCCTGAAATTCAGTTCTAATTCGATTCCAGTTATTGCGATTGATCTTCCTTTACATTGTATACAGTGTACAAAGTTTCTTTCGGCGGAAACTTTACAGTTCTCCCTTTCACACGGAGACCCCTCGGTCATGCTAGATATTCTTGTTTATCTTGTACGCGCGATTATCTATCTTTTGCCGTATTTCTGATTTCCCGCACAAACACGACCGACGACGGGCAACACAGAGCGGGCCTGTGCCGTAATTACGCAGGATAGAAACGTGGCGATAATTCCTCCGACACAGTGTGTTTCTTTCGAGAGCAATGACGTCATTACTCGTTCCGTCTCATTCCTCGTTTCTCTCCCTCTTGAACTTGAGCGAGCCAAGTCAATTGCCACTCGTGCCCTTCTTCGAAGACCCTTTCGTTTAGTCGGCTCGTTTTCCATGTGCGTTACAAAGAGACCGAGTGAGCTGTCGGTTTAATCGCGCACAGTGGCCGCTCTGTTGAGAGCTCGTAATATCGTCCACTTCGCGAGACAAAACCGCGAAAGAGTCAGCCTTTATACGCTCGATACGGACCTGCCATTCGTTCGCTCTTACGGAGTCTTTTATATTGTCAAATTATTCTAATATCGAAAGAAAGAGAGAGCATTATCGCATGAATTCTCGACTGCGACTTCTGTTAATACACAGAGAAAAAGGTTTCTTTAGATTTCTATTTACTTGACCAAAATTTGTTTCATAGAAACAACATATACGAAATATTATTTGTTTGAGTAAAAATTTTATTGTCCCATTCAAGGAAACTCCATTATTTAATAGAAAGAATGCTATTATTTGAAATAATATCTTTTATTATGTTTTGATTGTACATTAGAAAGTCTAATAAGAGATTAGTAAATATTTAAATAATTGTTTATTCATAGAATATGTTATAACTATTTGAGTACCTATACTGAGAACAATTAATTCTATCTAACATATATGTGACAATGTGGTTGAAGTTTTGAGCGATCTTCGAGCAAGAATCTTAAAAAATTTTCTTCTAAGATTAAACTCCGTAAAAACGAAATTATGCAAGAAATAATAAAATTGTACAAAATATTTCAATCTGAATTTTAATTTGAACGAATGTACTCGCACGCACAATCTTTTCCGTTTTTCTTCTTTATTTATGTTAATATTGACACATTTTGCATAATTTTATTGTTTTTTGCATATTTTCGTTCTTTTACTGAGGTTAAACTTGAATAAAATTGTTTAAATTCTAGCTCGAAGATCGCTCCAAGCTTCAATCATTCGCATTGTGTGACAACGATAATTTTGTTTCCACATCCATAAAGACTATTTTACACAACTACATAGAAACAAATAGAATGTGTATATTTGCGGGATTTCCGAAATAAACTGTAGTGGCGAATGTATTAACAAAAAGTTCATTTTTATTGGTTGCATCTTCGCCAAAAAGAGTCGGTTTGAACCGACGTGAGCAACCAAAGTTCACGCGTCCGTTCTCGGTATCCACGACGTCGAGCCGACGTAAACGCGGCGGACGCGCCGACGTGCGTCGCGCCGCCCATTGACTTTTGATTCACTGGGTATGTGGGTCGGCCGAGTGCCGCTCTCGTTGGCAGAGTGGGTCGTCGGTAGTGATGGGCCAGAGTCCCACGCGTACCGACGTCGGGGCCTTACGTAAGACTACGTAAAAAGCGGTCTTTTTGCAAGTAAACGTGCGCGATCGGAGCGCGCCCGAGGCACATCGAAGTTGCATTTTGTCTCAGCGTACACAGGAGAATTCAACTGATTTCCCGAACGAAGTTCGGCCAGCATCGCCAAGCCGGCAATTCGCCCGCTTTATCAGCTTGTACGCGATATTTCGAAAGATTCGCGAAATCCAGCCGCTCGGCGCGGCGCAGGAACGGGAAATGAGAGAAAGTGAGCGCGCGAGTATCGCCGTCGTGCGTGTTCCCGAGAACACTCGGCTGAGAAAATCTCGATATTCGTTGGAATGTTAAATGGCTCCTGAAATAAACCTCGATTCGGCCGTGATGTGGCGGCGGCGGTTTTTGCGGACTTTCGAATCGCTAATGAAAAAGCAAGACTGGTCGAGAGCAGAGTGGTGGTAACCGGCATCTATACGTGGCCGCCGCGCAGGGATTTCCGGCGAAAGATCGATCTGTCGGCGCCGATCGGTCGAAAATATCGTACTAATTGAGTCGTTCATTCACATAGATTCGTGGCTGCACGACGACCACGCGCGAACGACCACGGCTGCTGCTGCTGCTTTTCCGCGCATTCGAGCGCCTGCATAATCATCGACACGCGGCAAGATCGAACGCGAGAACGTATCGGAGTAAAGAGAGCTTGCGAGAACTCGCGTCACACGGGAAATGTTCAATTAGCCGCTAATACGTCGCAGTGCACGCCGCTTATGAGAATCGACAGACGCGGAAATAACTCGAATGCTACAACAGATACACAGCGTAGACGTCTGTCGAGGTCGACGACAGGACGAACGTAACGAGAATAATACAATACAAGAGATACCATAGCGTCGCTCGGCGGATATTCTCGGCGGACACAATAAAAATATGTATATGTTGCACATGTTGTATATGGTACTTAAAATCGTACCTTGTTAAAATGTGTCTATTAAATTGTTCACATACCCGTGTGCTGATTTAACATATTATATTTATCTCTTATAGTCATCACAATATTTGGTATTGAATGTCGATATTCAACATGTGTGTAAGCGTTCAAATACACTCGCAAGATAATAAATCTGAAATAATATTTAGATAAAAATTAGATAATAAATTTTAAATCATATTTTGATAGAAATTAGATCGAGTAGAAATTATTTCGAGCGGAGATTACAAAGTAAAAAGGAATATCTTAAATACAAATTATTTTAAATTGAAATTTTTTTTTAACTGAATGAAACTGAACAGAATGAAACGTTGGAGGAAAAAAAAAGAAGAAGAAGCGATTGATAAATGGCTCTCAGCTGGGATTTGCGAGAATATTCTAAACAGCACTAAGTTTAGGAGAAAATGTTTTCAAGATGTTCGAAAGATGCCCTACTATTTTTAAACCTTTCTCAGACGCCTTTTGTAAGTCTGCGTAAGTCTGTATACGTACGTCTGTCCCATGGAACAATTTGGCAGGGCAAATACCTAGTACAGTCGCATCGCGTGTATCCGCCGACTTTCAAGATCGCGGCCAGACGTTCGGTGACGCGACCGATCTCGGAGACGTCCTCTCGTCATAGAGTATGTATCGACGAAAGACAGTCGCAGATATCCTTAATGTTGTACGTATAGCGCGTGGCATCGAGAAATCGTGGGGAAAGGAGCAACGGGCCAGGTCGTCGAACCCGTTCGCGCGAACTAGCGACGAACGGGCGCATCTCGCGGCGCCTTTTTCCCCTCTCTCTCTTTCGCTCCTCTCTTTCTCTTTTTCTCCTCCTCCTCCTCTCTCTCTCTCTCTTTCTCTCTCTCCCTCCGTCTCTTTTTTACAGGCGGCAGCTTACACGCGAGACTACTAAAGCATGCTCGAAGAAGACTCACTTTAGCTGATCCCCCGGCTTCGCCTTGCCGCGGACGTCGACGTGCTCGACTTTTCTGCTCGCCGCTGGTCTCCTCGGGCTGAAGAGCGACGCGACCGTGTCCCTTTTCCTGCCCGGGTTCGCCGCTGTCCTCGTTGATGGGTTCGCCCTGAAATCCGCATTAAGACCGGATTAAATTGCGAATCGGCGATCTCTCGTTAATTAAGGGTCGCGCCGACCGCGACGCGGCTAATTGGTCAAATCGCGCATTCGCTTCGCCGATCTTTCTTTAAACGAAGCGAACGGTAGCCGTGTTGGAAAGGTGGACGCCACTTTCGACTTGTATCGACTCGTTGAAAACCAAGAGATAGACGTCGGTATTAGTATTGTCAGTGTAAACCGAGTATTTCTAGGTATTTCTATACTTAGTTATCCAAACTCGCGGATACCCGAATACCCGGAATAAAGAAAGAAATTTCTAAAGAAATTATGTATTTTTTTCTATAGAAATATATTCTCCTTGCTAATCTGCTCATATAAGTATTAAAGAAAGACTACGAAAAGTGTTTATCTTGTTAGATATTCAATATTTCATATTTTACCAGATATTTTTTATCTTTGATATACACACACGTATCCTAATATAAAGATTAAATATTTTGTAAAGTATCTGCTTGTCGCTGATTTCGCCTCGATATTTTTACAAGTATAACATGACTTTAAGAATAGACAAGAAGATAATAGTAAGAATAAAGAATTATACGGGGGAAAAAACTGGTTGCATTAATTAGAAAATGAACAACCAGATGCGTTCTAGTTGAAGGGAACAGAATTTCCAGTTCTTATGGCTTAAATGTGGTTTTTATAACCAGAAAATCACATTTCTATTTCCTCCAACCAAAATGCATCTTCTGGTTGTTCTCTTTCTGGTTAATATAATCAAACTTTTTTTCTGTGCAGATATTCGAGTTACTCACAAATTAACCGAGTGTTGCTCGAATGCTCAGTTAATTTGAGAAACAGCCGAGTAATACTTTTAAAAGACAATGCGAGACGTTCTGAAACAAGTGAGGAAAGTGAATCGCTCTCGCGCCTGCATTCTACGGTCGTTCTTTCTCTCTCAACGAGTGCGAGAATCCCTCTCTCACGCTTACGATGGACATGAGGAATGCACACGCGACACATAAGCAGCGTGTCGCGCGGAAAAAGGTCGCGTAATTCGTTGCGCAAGAAAAAATCGGAGGATGCGATGGATGTGACAATCGTTCCTAACGGCGAGAAAGCCGCCGTTGTCGCTGAATCTCTCGTGTTGTTGCGCAAAGAAATCGATAGAAAGTTACATAACGCCGCGTGTGTACGTGCGTGCGTGTAACGAGATGCAATTGTAGCCGAGGTGCGTGTACCTGCAGGTGACTGTCTAACGGCGGAGGATTACGTAACGCGTGCGTGCACGCCGTTAACGCGCTCCCACGGGAACGACAGGCGAGGACGATTTTTCCCGCTAATTTCGTTATCGCGCAGCTTTAAGCGTTGTCGCGCGCGAGAAAGCAGTGTCTCTCGTCGCCACGAAGCTCTCGTTCTCGACGACGGCTCGATGAGGAACGACGTGATCCGTACCAACAAACCGTGTAACGTCCCAGCGAGTTTTCGAGATTCCAGAGCTCCGTCGGGAGATGAAAGATCACGACGGAATGTTTTCGAGTAACAACGCGTGGCGTTAAAACCAAATCACGCTAGCGATTGCCGATTGAATTGCGACTGGCGATTACTGTTCGACCAATCAGAGCAAAGCAATCACTGATTGAGATCAGCAACCGACATTTAGAAAATGTTCTATTTTATAATCGTCAATCGCTAGTGTGATTTGGCCTTTACAGGGAACCGAGCCACGTTGGCCCAAAGATCACACGTTTGCCATGCGTTTCGTTGAATTTATAGATTTACTGTAGGAGAAAAACAGTGGAAAAGATATCGCGACACGTTCCTTTTAGAACAGAGACAAAAATCATCTGTGTTGATTCAATAAATGAATCGATACTATCTGCGACTCTTAATGATACAGTCTGCCCTGTAAATATTTTACTGATATTATATTAACATATCGGTGACAGGAAACGAGAAATTCTCGTTTTCACACGCATTAGCGACGGGAAACGAGATTTCTCGTTTTTTGAACGCGAATGCAGCTTACCAGTAATTTCTCTGAGATTTTACTAGTCGCCAATATGTTGATTTATCTTTTACACATATTACTATATGTTAAATATATGCCTCTATATTGTATATATTATATAAATATATCTTCAATTACCTTACATGAGTATAATTAGCATTAGAGGTCGCGGGCGGTAAACTTGATGCTAAATTTGAGCCCAGAGCGAGAAATAAGTCGACTCCAAAGGACGAGGGGAGGTAAAGGACAGGTTGGAGGCGCGTAGAACTCGATTCGACGAGTTTAGCGTATCGACGGGTTCCAGTGTGTATCGGCGGGGCGAGTTGATGAGGTCAGTACGATCGCTGACCGCTGGTGGTCAATGCCCTCATCGGATAGTCTGTTGCGAACGAATGAACGAGCGAACGAATGAAGGAAGGAAGGACCGAACGAACGAACGGCCGGACGATCGATCGATCGATCGGCTCGGCGAAACGGATTGATTACATTCCAACGTTCGGCGTCTGGTTAACGACGTTCACACGGTATTACGTAAGTTAAACATGACTTCTCGTCTCTGAGGATAGGTCCAGTGAGTTTCCTAGAAGAGGACGGTCAACGTGAACCGGCGATGATAACGCCGGTCGGCAGCACGTGCGTGAGTTTTATCATGCGCGTCTTATCTGCGTTACATGCGTTCGCTGGTTTTCGACGGTTTCAGTGGATTTCAAATGATAAAAGTGATCGAAATTTGTGAGAACGACTGATAACTTTCGACCTCTGTGGAAGGGACATACCGAGAGGCTGTCTGTCCCGCGTCCGCCGTAGACGCGTCCACCGAGGAAGGTGTGACACCTTACACTCATCTATTATTAATTCAGGGAACTCACGCACACGGTGACATCTTCGACGAAGGAGCTATATATAATTTTCGCGGAAAGGGACTCGTTTGTTGTGTACTTGGCGAAAGTCGACAATTTCAGCAGCGTGTTATCGGAAACTGCGTGCGAATGTGCAAGAAAAAATAATGTAAATCTCTCCTAATATCGTGTGTGATGTAAGAATATTTTTTTATCAGCTGTCGGAAGCGAGAGAAAAATTCATACCGGAGTGTCACGACGGTCCGGTAATATTTCGAAATACTCTACGTTGTAAAGACAATGTTTGTTGTAACGAAAAATAATAATAACGTAGCTGCGGGGACTAACGCGCCAGGTAAATACAGATGATATTTTGAAAGAGCCATAGAAAAAACGGAAGAAAAAAAAACAAGGGGACACCCGGGTTTGAACCGGGGACCTCTCGATCTGCAGTCGAATGCTCTACCACTGAGCTATATCCCCAATTGAGAGTTTCTTGTTTAACTAGCACTCTTCACACCTGACGCGCAATATAAAATGTCACTTTTGATAAATATAAGAGGGAAATTTTTTCTTCATATCGAAGTATAATTATATTTTTACAAAGTAACTAAGTTTATTATAAAAATAAAAATTTATGAAAACATTTCTGCAATAATTTTAGCGTCTTTTGTCCATTTAATAATAGCTATATGTATATAAGATTCGTTTAGAAATTTAATTTGCGAAAATTAACATTTTCACATCAGCCGAAAACATTTTGCTCCACACCTATCTGCGGTTCTATTGCAGTTCATTATTATCTCCATTATTATCGGTTTACGGAAAAATTTTGACGCGCCTTTCGTGATTATACGCGTAATCATTTTTCGACGCGTTGAAACGGCAAGAATTCAAACACCGAGCGGTTTTGCGAATCGCGATATAAAAGATTTCTCGAAGTAAAAACGAAGCCGTTCGTGGAAGCGGCTAAATAACAGACTTCCCGGAAAAATAATAGTGGGACCAGTTTTCCGATCCGTGACGGACGGGAAACCTTTACCACGCCGCATCTATCGTGATTATTACAGTAACGAGCGGTTATTACCGCATCGCCTCGACACAACGCGCGTATGCGCACTGAAGAAACCGGACTCTTGGCGTCCTCTGTGCCGCGTCTCATTCGTTACGACGGTCGACGCGATGTCGATAACGCAGGAAGCTAGTTAGCATTTGGGAATCTACGCTTTTGTTAAATTTTTATTACGTTTACGAAAGAAAAACTGAAGAAAGATATAATTTGCGACGAGACATTTTCACGAAATTTTTCAGAAATATCACGGATAATTTAGATCCAATTTTCCCAATGGCCGGTTCGCGAAAGGTAAATGAATTTCGAATGAACTCGAGAAATAAAAATAATCTAACTAACATTAAAGATTTTTTCACCACCTTGCTGATTCGCAAGTTAAGAGAGTTAATAATCATTATTAACAATTATAATTTGGATCATATGTCATCATGGTATCATTCTATATAGTAAATGTAGATCATTCTATATAGTAAAAATATTTTGTAGTTGTGTTAAAATAGGTCCTTATTCAAAATTTTGTGTTAATTTTTAGCATATCCATGTGTTGATTTAACATATTGTGTTTGTTTGTCTCTATACTTTGTATTACGTATAGTATATATAATTCATACTCAATACTTTGTATTATTTATACTTCAGTGTCGATTAACATATCAATTTTGTATTAATTTTTGACATAATATTCGTATTACTTTTCAACATATTCACCTTGTATTAAATTAACACGATAATTTGACTGGACTGTTTGGGACATGTGAAATGTATTAAGTTTAATAACAGCATTTTTTACTGTGTAGTTACTTTCTGCAGTCATATCGTGCGTAGAACAACTTACAAAAACAAAAACGCAGCTGTGCGAGAAATGATGGATCCTTACGAGGTTTCGAATTGCCACGAGCTTCCAGCGTTACTATTAGTGAACCCGACGAAATCTGGAAAGGATTCATCAGTCTCGTGAGCTAATTAACAGATGTGCACTCACTGATTTCCGTTGGCCTTCTTCGTGAGCGGCAGAGTATTTTGCGTCGTCCGTTTATTAAACGGTGCCCGCCCGCCCGAACCCACGGACATCCCGCTTCGAGCCTGGAAGCAAGAAAACCGTGATCAATTTAAAATGAACGAGGCGTCTCAAATCCGTGCATAATTATAACGAGATAAACGACACGAGAATGAGCGAGAATAAGACGTTGAGATCTCTCGTGGAAACTATTTGTCGAAAAACGACACAGGACGCGGTTAAGAGCATACGTCTCTCTCTCTCTCTCTCTCTCTCTCTCTCGTACTCGTAGCTCACGCGTCTTCCGGGTTGAGCGTGGAAATAAATAAAGAAGAAACGTATTAATGCACAGTTCCGCTCTGATTCGCGTGCGTCGCGCGCCGCTCTTTAAGAGCGGCAATTAAACCCACTAAGAGGTAAGCTATTACATACACACCTACATGTAGAACGGTAGATTACCGGACACGGATGCGGTTTTTAATAATAATAAAAAAAAAAAAAAGCAGGACGCTATCGCCGCGTCGAATCGCCGCGCCACGTCGTCTCGAACTTGCCTTTAATGCAGCCGCGATTTCACGTGCGCGCGCACGCGCGACACATGCATAATTATCCGACGCGTTTAAGAACGAATAATTATCGGGCTTCGCGCCTAACGTTCCCGTGCCGCTCTGTTTGCCGCTGTGACATGTTGCAGCGCTCGGTAGCTGAAGCGTCGCGCGTGCCTTTTCGCGTATAAACATCCCAGGATGGCGCGTTGGTCCGTCAAAAACAGATGTTCGGATCTACAATAGATGTGTGCTAAGCCTTTGATCTCTAAGCACTAAATTATAACGGAATTTCAAACAAAAGGCATTTCCCACGCTGCCAAAAATCTTTACAACGCATAATTCTTGGAAATTGGGAGCGCTGGTCTGGTAGCGCTGGGAAAGTTTTTTGCTCGAAATTACGTTACAATTTAGTACTTAGAGCAAACGGTTAAAGGCTTACTTTGCCACAGGCTTAATTAGTTGTGACGAATATCGAAACGAAGCTCTCAATTAAAGTGAGCTCATCGCGAATTTCTCATTCAGCAAGTCGATTCGGCGTACGGATCTCATTGCCGAACGCACATGTAACAGTCGGCTAAGTAATCCGACGCCATAACCACGGATAATAAACGCGTCTGGCGGATCTCGTATCGGTTCGGAAGCGTACATAACAATCCGCCGAGTTCTTTATCTCATTCTCTCAAAGCGCGTGCGATAACAGGACAAGATTCGATTACACACGAGCTTCTTGCGACGTTCCACGATAAACGAGCGAGGAATATTTCAAAGTTGCCAATACTTATTTGCAACCTTGTACTCGCGTATGATACGGCCGAAATATTATCCAAACGCGTCTTACTTGCTGCTTATCGGTCGAGACATTTAATGGACGCGACCATGAGTCACTACTATCTTTGCGTTATCTACGTTATTGCATACCGTCTATCGCACTGCAAATAAGCTCGGTTTCCGTGTCGACGCTTTGTTAGCGCAAGGGACGATCGAATAAATTGACAAAAGACACCCATACGTGGCGACGAGTGTAACACATTGACCACGTTCAGCAGAACGTTTAATATGCAACTGTTGAAAGTTTTCCGAGCTGAGATTGGATTATTCTTTTAGATCTACAAGAATAACCCAATGTCAGCACAGGAAACTTCCAACAGTTGCAAATTAAACGTTCTGCTGAACGCGGTCATTGACGCTCGACTTCACCAACGTCAATTCAAACCTGAATATAATCTTTCCTCTCCTCGAAGACTTGAACTCAAGGTTTAACCGCAGTTGCTGAAATCGGGTGCGTACAAGGCGCGAAAAATTCGCGCACGCGCGGCGAAGGCGCGCTGCGAGTGCGTCGAGTATTTACCGAATTCCCGCTCAGCGCGTCTAGGAACTGCCGGATCATCTTCAGCAGGGGATTAAAACCGACGTCGAATCACACCGTCTTACACCGCCCACGTCACACCGGCGCGTCTCACGTTACACAAGGCGAAGAGACGCCGGTTTCGCTTGCAGCGCACTCGTCGTCGATACGCACGCGGGCCTGTATACACGCACGCACACACTTCCGCGGAATCAAAAGCTCCCCCCCCCCCCNCCGCGATGCACTTTGACACTTCCCGAAGAGTCGCCTCCGCGCTAACGGGTGCCTCGACAAAGGATGAAAAAAAAAAGGAAAAAAGAGAAAAGATATCGTCGAGTCCTCCCAGTGCAGACCGTTAATGCGATGCGATCTTCGCGCGATTTCTCGACAAAATGCCGAGAGAGAACGACGACAACGTGAACTCGATGCAATCTCGAGAACACCCGCGACACACACGCGAAGGAGCTCAGCCGAGGACTGACGGGGAATTGGAACTGGTGAGATAAGAATTAAGTCGTCCGCGATAAGCTGGGAAATATCTACAGGTGAGTACACGTACTCACACCCGGTTACGAGCTCGCGCGAGCGTCTACCAGGAACGCGCGAGACCCGACGTGGTGTATGGTAAACAGAGTTTGTATTGTCCCACCGAGATACAACCGTACGACAACACGTCGTGAGAAACTTCGTGGGGGAGAGGGGGGGATCGATAATGAACGACAAAAAGAAAAGGAGAGAGAAAAAAAGTCCCACGTCTGTCAACGTCGCGATGACGGTCGCGCGACCGTCGACGCACGCTTGCAAATAAACCGCGATCGCATTTCGTTTTATCTTGCGACAAACGATCCTGGTGAGATTCCCTCCCTCGCGATCGCTCCCGATCAGCGCGTCGTCCCGTGTGCTTTTGGCTCCGACGGGTGTTCCGATCGCGGCCCCCGTGGAAACACGGCGGCGGATCGAGGAGCAGGATTTCGTTTGTATCATCGCGGATACTACACCGGGCGACTTCGATCGGAAGGCTATACATATCCGTATCTCCTCGCGAAGGTTCATCGAACCTTGGCGCGGCGCACGTACGGGTTCTCTCGGCCAATAATAAAGATGCACGCCCGGTACGTAACTACGCTCTGTACATACGTACGTAAGTACTACCCTGGTGCTGCACCCGTACTCTCTCTCTCTCTCTCTCACCGCCGCCGTTTATACAAGGTGTCCCGTCTACTACGATATCTGCCGCCCGTCTACTACGATATTGTCTCACTTGGTTTCGAGAATAAATTGTATAATTTATAAGTTTCGGGAAAAAAAAAAACACCACATTTCTCACCGATTTTTCTTTTATTTCTTACCTTCCTTACGGAAAAAATAAATAAATGTGGCAGGTTTTAACCGAACGCACGGTAAATTTTTCCGAACGGATTTTTGTACCTTTGGGACCGAAACCGAGGGGAAATCCTCGGAAATCCACGGGGAAATGGGGAGAAACGATTTTTTCTCCCGAAACTCAGAAACTATAATGTATTGTCACGGCGATAACGCGAAGGAAACGCGGTATCGACTCGTGCTACTAACCCATTAATGACTGATCATTTATAGCACCCTTCTCTTATTGTATAATATTATATATTACACTAGTATATAATTTTGTTGCTTCTGAAACTTTTCAATTCCCGGATACATCTGTGTCTTCGATGAAAATAATTCTAACACTATAATCTGAACTCTGTGGGAGATCTCAGATAGATCAGATAAGTTGTCAAACAGACGAACTGATCTTTTAATTGAAAACAATCGTGAAATAATGATGGCCTCTAATGAGTTGATTCGCGTGAGTCTATTAAAATTCCACGCCTTTGCCTCTTTACCGTGATTCGTCATCGAGCGGTTACCGGCTCGGATTAATTATTGATTGTAGTTATTCAGGGCTGCTCGACCGGCGGCGAATGGCGTCGCGTAATAAGACGCGAATCGCGGTGTACGTATTGCGTACACCGAAATACAAATGAAATTTGCACCCGCGACTCGGCTATTATTCGCCGTGGAATTTCTGACCGCCTTCCCGGATCGCTACGTTCTCTCTCTTTCTCTCTCGGTCGGTGCGGTTTTTCGAAACCTGGATCGCCCAGTATTCTCGAACACACCGTTACATTCTCGTATCGCGAATTCTAGGTTGCAACATTCCGAGACTGCGTTACGTTCGGCGACCCTCTCGCATCCTCGGGATATCGATGTTATCGTATCGCCCGCTCCTTTTCTCGCTCCGAGGCGCTCTCCCGATGCAAGGGTGGAAAGAAGAGGACGCGTTAGCACGTACGCGTGAAGAAACGACGCGAACGCGTTTCAAGTGTCCGGCAAAACCGCCTCTGACACCGATTATTATCCTCCTAATGAGCTTTGGCGGGAATACTAACTGGTAATGAACGAGCCTGACTTAATCTCCGCGTAATCATGACGATCTCTTGTCGTGATTCCGCACGATCGCGAGGCGAGATCCTTTCCTGCGATCTGTCTTCGCGGTGACTTTCGCATAGACGTATAGAATAGACCGAGCATTCCCATTGGAGGGCTGAAGCCGGTATTAGTAAGAGAGGGCAATAAAGACAATGGTGCTTTTCTTGTCTAATTGACGAGGGGAAGGAGAGGGGAGAAGCGATACATGGTTACAAGTATCATGAACTATCTAACAACTACGAGTGCACACGCAGAAAAGAGATAATCTTAAATCAAGAACCGATATTCTCATATATAAGCAAGAATATCATAATATTCTTGGAAGATTTTTAGTCTCGAACTGAGTTCGAACAATACTTGCGTCAATGCAAATTCAAACGAGTAAGAAGACTAAGAATCTTCTAAGAAGATTATATTCTTCTTCCTAATGTTTTTGCTTCTATACGAGTATCTATTCTTGATTTAGGGCTAATTCTTTTCTGCGTGGTGTATTATTTGTGTGCCTTTCACATAATCACAAGTTATTCTTCTCTCTTCTTCACTATGTCCACTCTCACTCTTCAGTTTCTCCCACATCGTCCCCTCCTACAGTATCCATCCGTGTAACAGAGAAAGCATCACTGTAAACGTATCTCTGTCCTTCGTTCCTTCGGCTCTTCAATGGCAATGCTCGGTCTATTTCTACAAGTCTACGGCATCGTCGGCCCGCATGCATCTCATGCTAAACGGACCCCACCCTCGC